GGTGGGAAAAAGGATCTGGGCACAAAGTCCCATCCCCAAACAAGAAGCCATTTGCCACTGAATGATGCTGGTTGAATGAAAATCAATTTAAAAGAGTGACACTGGCCATCACTGACCACACTCCAGGGCAGGCCCCATGCTCAGGAGTAGTTCACCAACATAAAAATGGACTACATATTGGTTTTGTGTGGTTTTGCTTTTTTTTTTAAGAGAGGAAGAAGGAAGACCCCCAGAGGCCTGCCTGCTGCAAGGTCCACATCGGAAGCCACTAGGATGGCATGTGGTGGAGAGATGGGAGAGAAAGACAAGCAGATTGGTTTGGGCTCTATAGAGAGGTGGAACTGGAGGTGAGGGGGCGGAGAGAAACAGCCTGAGCTGAGTAGCCTTCGCTTCCACTCGAGACCACGGTGATCTCCCAGGCTGTGCTGCCACTGAGGAACATGTCTGAGATCGGGAGAGCTGACCCTCCCCTTGCCAGCTGCGGCACTGAGTGAGCTCACCCTGGTGGTGTGGGAGAGCTGCCCAGCTGACCACCTCAGCTACCACTCAGGCCCAGATCCAGGGCTCACTCCAACATCTTCTGCTAGAGTGTGTGAAGGGGCCAGTCCTGCAGATTCAAGGCTGCAGGACACAGAGCAACAACAGAATACTGTAGGAGGCCCAGCGAGGATCCAGTGTTGATGGTGCAGTGGGAGCCGTAGGCCTCGAACCAGACCAATGACTCACCGCAAGGAACATTTGCCAGTAAAAACATGTAGACAAAAGGGTACGTGTGTGACACACCACGACACTGCAGCTTCCACAATGAGATGTTTTTCTTGGGAGGTGGGGGGTGGGGTTGTTTTCTGTTTTGTTTTCTCTTTGGGGGAAGGTTGTAAGAGCAGAAGGAGAATATGAAGGGATGAGTAGGACTGGTGTGAATGATGTGAAATTCACAAAGGATCAATAAAAATTTTCTAAAACAGGCTTTGTACTTGGAGGAAATAAATGAAAGAGAAAGAATATGAAATGGAATGGATAAGGAAGAGAGAATCTGACAAAGACAAAAGTTGGGAGAGTAGAAACAATACAAACTAAATATATTGTATAAATATAACCTTTCCCCCCTTTGGTTTTCGAGACAAAAAAAACAAACAGAAAACAACAGAAACAACCCAAAGTTTTGCGTCCTGTTCAGGATGCCTCACCACATGCCCAAGAGCACTGGGACTGACGGATCACGAACTAAAGCCTGCCAAACTAAGTCAGAATGAACTTCTCTTCTCCATACGATGGTTAGCTCAGAGTTTGTTCCAGTAGCGAGTAATTAACCAAGGAACTAACGAGAGACTTCCACAGTGCCCACCCGGTCACCCCTGGCCAGTGTGACACAGGGTCTGTTCTTGACCACACAGCCAGGGGTGCTCAGCAATTCCCAATCTCAACTCTGTAGCCAGGTATTTCTTTAATGGACACTTCCATTCTGGTCTTTCCTTACCTGTCTGTTTTTCCTTTCGGCCAATGCCTGCACAGAGGAAGCCGACATCTGATCCTTCATGTCCTAGAAAAAGAAAAAAACAAAGAAAAATTCCCTTAAAGGAAATCGTGGAGAGTATTTCCCTTATTAGCAAATTACACAGTTGACTGTCTATCTTTAAGAAAAAGGATAGCATTCTTTGGCTTTTCTTCTCAATTTTAAACATAAAAGGAATAGGAATGGCCTTCCATTGAAAACAGGTAAAGTAGCCACTAAATTTACATAGGAAGAGAAAGGCAACTCAACTACCAGTCAGAAGCAGGACTCTTCTGGGCTTCCCTGAGCCTTGCATGAGCTGATGCGATCTGTTCCCAGGTTGAGGGGACCTATGTCCAGAATGGCTAATAACTTCTCAAAGTCACACAGCCAATAGCTGACAAAGTGAGGGTAAAAACCAAAGGTCTGTGCTCAAGGACTAGCATCCTCTAACACATGTGAAGTTTGTTCTTAAAGTATAGTTACCATTAATACCAAAAAATTCTTGCATGTTCACTTATGAACTGCAAATTCATTCACAGTATAGACTATTCCTAACACTGAAGCAAATTCCTAAAGTCTTATCAAAAATAATGTACAGAAAAAAAAAAATCAGTGGATATATGTTAAATAATATTTATTTAAGCAAAACATCATTATATATGAGCCACTTTAATTCTTACACTTAATTATAATGACAAACACTGAAAAAAAAGATCTAAAATTGTAATTGCAATACAATTTTCTAAAAAAAAGAAAGTCAAGATACTTTGAAATTTTCTGTTGGCAAGTAGAGTAATTTTTATAGATGAAATTCTTAAGGCATTCAACGTCTGCTGTTTTAAGGGGGGTCTTAACTCCACAGCCCTCACTGGCACGGACTTTACTACGCGGCACTGGCTAATCCTAAACTCACAGATGTGTCTGCCTCTGCTTCCCTGTACTGGATTAAAGGGGTGCAGCATCATACCCAGCCAGGATCAAGACCCATGACAAGCGGGTGCTAGATCAGGCGTGCCACAACGTTAAAATTCCTACTGCGGTTAAATCTGAACCACCACCTTGCTTCAGCTTTCCAAGGACCTGATCATTCACTCAGCAAATGCGTTCTGACGTCTCCTAAGTACCAAGCGTGCAGCAGGTGACATGGCTTAGTCCCCTGCTCCCCAGAGTTCATGTGGTGACTTACCTGACTCAGATACCCAGGTGGTTACAAACAGTGCCCTTCTCTAGGCCCCATCCCAGCCCATGCCAAAGGCTCTTTCTGAACACTTTAACAAGCCTCTCTGGGCAATCTGAGAACCTCTGCTACATACAATTCTAGAAACCTCAAAACAAGATGGTTATGATAGTGTGTCCTGGACTGTAAAAGTCCCTATTTATCAATTAGCTTAAGATATCATTTATTCAATCCAGAAATTAAATTTATTTAAAATATATTGCTAATGAGAGGGAGCACTATCTCTCCACATTACCAACTTACTAACAGTTTTTAAAAGTTTCTAAGTCTTTCTAGAAAAACAATGAGCATGATACTTCCATAATGGAACCATCAACATGTATATAGAAAAAGTGGCGCCTTAGCCTTAAGGTGCTCTGAGTGTATAGAATTTGTTTGCTGTCTAAAGTTGGATGGTGAGGGTAGGCAATGACTTGAACAGACCTTCAACAGGGCTCCTGAAGTGCTGAGTGAGCCTGCTCCTGAGCTTCATGCTTCTAGGTGCTGCTCAAACAAGTCTTCCATTGACAAGCTCATCAAACTGAATGCTTAGGATGGGTGACTCTTTCTATATTGCTGTATGTCAACTAAGTGTTTTAGAAACCACTACTGCTCCTATATAACGGATGAACAGTAACAGGACAAACTCTTTGGAGATAATTTTTGTATGGAACAGTTTAAGAATATTCACTGCCTTGGCCCCATTAATAGCAATATTTAAAGAAATTAACTAAAACAGATGTGTAAAAAATTTCTGTGGTGTGACCTATACTATAAAAGTAGAAATAAGGACTGTGTCTGCGTAAGGAGGAGAGCACTTACGGTAAACCCTCACACTACAGCACTGTGGCCAGACACCGTGTTTACTGGGCTTCTCTCTGAAAGCAGCCAGTACACAGCTGAGCGTGCACATAAACGATCATCATGGAAAGACGCACTTGCCCGCCGGCGGTCAAATCGGAGCTAGAGGCGCCTTCCCAATCAGACCAGGAAAAACAAACCGAGTTCAAGCCTCAGCGATTCTTTTAAGGTAACTGGGCTAAGTCGGGCAGTTTGCGAAATTTCTGTTTCTTCTCTACAGTTGCAATAGTATCTCCCAAGGCCATGGTGGTGCGGAACAGGGCCCCTGAAATGGACACTACCATCATAGAAGCAGCCACTGGAAAAGATTATCAGAATTTGCTTCTGTCCGACACAGTGGCCACACCAGCCATTGTTCCTGATCACTTCAATCAAGGCCAGGGCCTTATTTCAATTAACTAAAATGTAAATTCAGTTACTGCCAAACTCTTCTAAGCATACGCAGACAAAACTGGGTTTCTAAATCTACTTTTCAATTGCAAGCTTTATAAAGTTTAAATGATATCCAAGTTATTTTCAATAAAACATCACCCTTAAACTTAAAATTAAAAATTTTTAGTATAACAAGCTAAAAAACTTTAACCTCTAATATTTCTTACAGTGGTTAAATAGTCAAATGATAACATTTTAGATTTGTTTATTTATTATGTATACAATGTGTGTTTGCATGTATACCTGCATGCCAGAAGAAGGCACCAGATCTCACTATAGATGGCTGTGAGCCATCATGTGGTTGCTGGGAATTGAACTCAAGACCTCTGGAAGAGCAGCCAGTGCTCTTAACCGCTGAGCCATCTCTCCAGCCCCAAACTTACTTTTTTTAATGTGACGACTAGACATAAATGGTTCCCATTATTTCAATGGACAGGGCTGTTTTACATCTATATGCATTTGTACACACATTTACATATGCATCTATATGTTGTTATTTGTTTTGAGGCAGTTTTCACTATGTAGCCCAGGTTGATCTTGAACTCATGATCCTCCTGCCTCTGTATCCCAAGTGCTAAGGTACCAGGTCCAAGTCACAATGCACCCTCCTCCCTTTTTTCCGACTCTCCTCTCTCCCTGATATGTCTGGGGATTTAACCCGGGGCAGCATGCATGCTAAGTACGATCTGCAGCAAAGCTCTTCAGGGAAAATTACAGGCGCCATGTCATTTTAAGAGTTTGCATTCCAACACCTAGAAAGCAGTCAGGGAATTCTTGTAAAAATATATATTTACTTACTTACTTATATATTTAATGTGTAAGGGTGTTTATCTGAGCGCCACACATGTGGCTGGTGCCTGTGGAAACCAGAGAGGTATCAGATCTCCCGGGACTGGAGTAACAGAGAGCTGGGAGTCACCAGGTAGGTGCTGGGAATCTGAGCTCCTGTCCTCTGGAAGAGCAGCCAGTGCTCTAAACCACCCAACCATTTTGCCAGCCCCAGAAAACGATTATTTCTAGAGAGTAAATTACAGAATGGAGGAGCAGTTTCAACTTTCAAGCAGAATTATTTACATTTAAAGCACAGCAAGCAGAGAGTATTCTAATGGTTAAACCTGCACCTGACTGACAAAAGGTTACCAGCTATGCATCAAAAGGAAACTGTAACACAGTGTTGGATCAGGGATTACTTTTGAGTTATAGGTTGTTTTTCCCCTCTTGTAAAAAAGCTACTCTAATTTTCTTTAATAAAAATGCAATAGACGAATAAAATATGCTTTTTAAGCTCAGATTTTTAAAGCTTTCATTTGATAGGAGGGAGGGACTGTGTCTAAATCTGTATGTGGGTAGGTGTGCAGGCGTGCGTGTGCGCGATGGCCACGCCCTCTTCGCAGCTGTGTGGCGTGCATCTTATACATGCTCGGTGCTGCAGAGGAGCACACTTTCCTGTGTGGATGGCATCTTATCTCTGTAGGCTGGTCACCAGACACCACACGGCAGATCACCTTCACGCTGGGGTGATTTTAAGCTGTGTTACTAAACAGTTTTAAACATCTTGTAACAATCTATCATGCCAAAAACATAATTACTCATCCTCTTTCTAACACATGAAGCTTAGGATCAGCAGTTAGTCCCAATAAAACATGATCCATCTGCCAAAAGAACAACAAATGTCCTGGTTATTTATGCTCCTGTTTTCACATCAACTGTTTCCAAGCTGAATGAATGAGACACTGTCGATTCTAGCACTTCCCGGATCCCAGGCCCCTTGTCCTAACGTTATCTGTCCAACCATGCTTATCTTAGCTGTTTAGACTAACCAAAGTCATGCCTGCTCTAACGGATGGCAAACAGTTCTTGGGCTGAAATAAACTGTGGATTGTTGGGGGCAGGTACAGTTCTGATTTTCCTTCCAAAGTTAACATCAGAGAATGTTAGTAAGGGCCATTTCATTGACAAAACAGAGGCCCCAAGGAGGCTTACTGACACGGTGAAATCTATTAAGGTCAGAGCTTTGCCTGCAGCTCAGGTTTCTTTCTGTCTTATTCAATGACCTCCCAGAATATGCAGCAAAACTAAATGCACTATGATGCTAGCATAACTCAAAGTCACTTGAGGGATATCGCCAAAACCTTCCCCTGTGAGGCCTCTGTTGAAGAGATGACTCCATAATATAAAAATAATTAGCTGGATATAGATGAGCCAGGATGTCGCTCAGTGCTAGGGTAGTTACCCTGCATGTATGAAGACCTGAGTTTGATTCTCTAGCACTATGCCAAAGGAAAAGAAACCAGGGGAAGAGGGACTATTTTATATAAAAACTGAGAATTTATATTTTTTCAACTAAAAATTACCATGAAAACTTAATAAAAACTGGACAAGCTAGGCTGATGCTTAGAAACTCCTTAAACACGGGAAGGGTAGAAAGGGCATGGCCAATGAATTGTAATCAGGAAGTCACGTGGGAGAAGGGCTATTGCTGTAGCTCAGCGTGCTTGTCCAGCATTCACAACTACCTCATGCAAAATCGTACACGAGAAAGTTGCTTCTTCATGTAAAAGAAGAAAGTTATTATTTATCACTGGCTCCTCTGACTGATGAAGCGACACAATTAAATTAGCATATGCTCTTTTAAAAATAAAGTAGAAGGCTAGATGTGGTAGCATACACCTTTAATCCCAACACTTGAAAGGCAGAAGCTGGTGGATCTCTGAGTTCGAGGCCAGCCAAGTCTATACAGTGAATTCTAGGATAGCCAGGGCTATATAATGAGACCTTGCCTCAAAAAAAGCAAAAACAAACAAAATATAGGGTAGTAACTTTCCTAAACCAGCACAGCTCCAAAAAGCATTCCAACTGCTCATCCTTATTTCCACAGATAAGCATAACTCTCACTCTCGTCAAAGAAGCTTCTTTTGCAGCAGGGAGTAGCCATTACAGGAAGCTGCAACTGGTCAGAATGCAGACAACAACTGACCATGGGGTGCCCAGCCCCAGTTGATAAAATCTATACCACAACCCCACCGAAGAGGGGGCGGAAAGACTGTAAGACCAAGATGTCTATGAGATAACGCCTTCTGTAAATGACAAGGAAACGCACCCATGAAATTATAACAATACGGTTACCTCAACACGACCTGCACACTGACGACACCAGCTGACATCCTAATGTGGATGGGGGACATGTCCCAGGTTCCACTCATAGATGAAGATCTACGGGTTATGCCTGGCTGCTGGGAGGGAGATCCAGTCTTTTGAGGGCACAAGCTCGGTGACAGGCTATCCAATCCCAGGTGGTCAGGCCTAAACAAATATGTGTGTATGTGTATATATTTATAAAAATATTTGTGTGTGTATGTGTGTAAACAATAATAATGAATAAAGAAGAGGTGACAAATTTGAGAGTAAGGGGAAAAAAGGAGGAGTTGAAGTAGGAAGAGGGATGGGTAGAAATGATGTAGATACAGCACTTACACATAAAATTAAAAAAAAAAAAAGAAACAGTGGGACACTTCTACATGAAAGGTAAGACCAATGCTACCTAAGCCTGTGACTTAAAAGTACTTGTATCAAATCTGCCTCGTCCTATTTCCCAAGTCTGTGAACCCCCTGTCCCTTCTCCAGTTTCTACCAAGAGGCAGGTATCTCTTCAGCTGAATACAGATACTTAAGTCAACACCTGCAATTTTTTTTTTTTTCAATCAAGGTGACTCTGTTGTTACTTCCGTCTTTTCTGTAAGACTTTCAACTAAAGTTATTAAAACCAAGTCAGATGGAGTCTGGTATAATGACTCCATCTCTGGCAAATACTGATGGGGGAAAAGGGAGATAAATTAAAACAACACAGCTAGCCAGGCATGGTAGTACACGCCTGTTTCCCAGCACTCAGAAAGGCAGAGGCAGGTGGATCTCTGTGAGTTCGAGGCCAGCCTGGTCCACAAAACGAGTCTAGAACAGCCAAGGCTACAAAGAAACCCTGTTTCAAAAAAACCAACCAAACAAACCAAAAACACCAAACCCAACAGCATAGCTAGAAGTTCACACCAAGCAGTCAGTTGAAAGCATAGCTGAGTGTGGTTGAGGTCTCAATCTCTGTAAAGTAAAATTCTGATGAACAGTACTATGACTTAAAATAATTCTAAGATGTACTTTTAACAGATTTTTCAAATATTAGGCCAGGCAGTGGTGGCACACACCTTTAATCCCAGCACTCGGGAGGCAGAGGCAGGTGGATCTCTGCTCTACAGAGAGAGTTCTAGGATAGCCAGAGCCACACAGAAAAATCCTATCTAGAAAAATACAATACAATACAATACAATACAATACAATACAATACAATACAATACATACAATACAATACAATACAATATAAAATGAAAAGAAAAGAAAAAAGAAATGAACTTTAGTATCTACTTTCCAGTCATAGTTTAATTTTCAAAATACAGAGATCTTTCAATGCCAATTTTCAAAACTCATAAGTACCACATTACAGAAAAAATAAGTGCATTGATTAAAGAATATTTATTTTACAGCAGGGAACTGTGAAATATTAGGGTCAACAGTGGCATCCTTCAGAAAAACCATTATGAAAAAAGGAAGGGAGGGAAGAAGAGAGCAGAGAAATGAGGGCAGGAAAGTGGGACGGTAGAAGCAGGGATGAAGGGAGAGAAAGAAAATGAACTGTATTTAAGAAATAACTGAGGGCTGGAGACAGCTCAGCGTTAAGAGCACTTGCTGCTGTTCCACACAGCACAGATGCTGGCAGGCTCAGACAGACAGATGTGGTGGTGTGAGTACTTGGGAGGGGAGGTAAGTGGACTTGGATGAGTCTGAGGCTAGTGTAACCTAGAGAGGGAGATCATGTCTAAATGAGAAAATAAAAATGATTGAGGGAATTACACACAAAAGATGTCACCTAACAGTGGGCTTAGCAGAGTGACATTTACAACTGTCTGGAAAATCAGAATGTTGAATCTACGCACTCACTGTCTCCAGAGGGCACCTGAAGCCAAAAAGGTTTCTACTCTATTACATGTGAGCTTATATATAAGCAATTTAGTTCTAAGTACAGAGAAAGGCCACTACTGAGTGAAGCAAGAAACACGGACGTATAAATTCAATGATAATCTACCATTTGAGATCATTTCAAGAGGAAATCACATGATTAAAGTCTTTGGCAAACACAAGGCAAGGTTCCTGCCATATGTCAGCACTGGTCTGATCCCAAGTCTCTTTCTTCAAGGAAGTACATATGTTAATGGCAGCTGCTTCTCTTACATCTAGTTATGCTAATCAGATGACTTAGCCATATACTTTCAAAATACAAAATACAGCTGAATGACTCAAAATTTCACCTAAACTATATTTTCTCTTTTCTCCTTTACTAGTGGGTAGTAGTCTTAATAATTCAGTACTGAAGATGTGTCCACCCGACGGCTTGTTTCCACGCGCCATCCCTGGCCTGCCTGCTCTGGGTAATTCGGAGGCTGTTAGGCACTTGTATGTGGCGATAGTAATAGCGTGGGTGTAGGAGCTCCAGAAGCAACTCAGATGGCGGAACGGCCACCAGCCAAACTGAGGAAGAGCCACTCTTCAACAATGCACACGACTACCAGTCAATCAGAGAAACAAATGGCTTCTACAAGAGCCTTTCCTTTTGTCCAGACATAGAGCACATTAAGAGATATTTTTTACCACTGTTTTATAGAGATTTGAGACATGGGCAAGTAGGATCAGGCTGTTAAAGTAACCTTCCAGCCAGCAGTTTATTGTCTTGTTTTCCTTCTAGCAACCCCCACAAAAGTAAAAGCACCCCCACCCCACCCCCATCAGAGAAGTTTTATATGGGGCACTGGCAATGAGTTCAGGCTGAAAGGTTGTTTCAGAGTCAACCTGCTAGGTTGTGACTGAGAGAGGGGTCTAAGAAGTTTGTCTGTCTCTTACACAAACAACCCCGAGAGGAGTGCTCCTTACCCGGACAATTTGCCGAGTACTTGTGATGAAGGCTTTTCTTATGCTCAATTCAGTTGCATCCAGGTTGAATTTTCTAGGATTTGCTTCGACTATGCGTGGGCCAACAAGTTAAGGAACAGCAACTGCATCACCAAAAAACCTGATGGCAAACTGTTAAACCACAGGGCACTGAAACTCAAGGAACAGAACAACCCAAACCCCGTGAAAACAACTTTCCCGAGCACCCCTAAACTCTCTCCGACCACAGCTACGAGAAGTTCCCTTGGCAGCAACAAAAAGATGGCCTGGCAAGTTAAAAAGAGCCTCTGCTAGCTGGGCACAATGGAACACACCTGGAATCCCTGCACTTGGGAAGAGGGAGGGATTGAGTTCCAGGTTAACTGTAGCTCAAAAAAAATGAGTTGGGAAGGTCGCTGGGGTGAAAGGATGGGAGAGGGTGAGAGGTGTAGGAAAAAGCTATGGCTTTTACAAATCTTTTAAACTGTCAATCAAAAGTCTTCCTTATGCCAACATGGGAACTCTCCTCCTCAACCTAAAGAGATCAAGTCTTTTTCAGGGAAGCTGCCTTTGAGCTCTCTATCCCCTGGCCTGGCTCAGTTGCCTTAGGTCAAATACTAGAAAATCTTCGTGTTCTCTCTTCTCTCTTACAGCCTGTACATTATCTGCATCATCATCCAGTATCTATTCCCAACCCTAACTCCGTAAGGCCTGGTAGCTACAGTTTCTTTTGACCTAAGCTTAAAACACAAGAAAATGTTTGATACACAACACTCAAGAAATGATTACTGAATGAATGATCAGTACCAAAACTTTCGTCCTGCGTCCCAGTTTCTTTGAGACAGGGAGACCAATCAAGGCTAGCCTAGAAGTCACTACACAGCCCTAAAGCCCAGGCTGTCATTCAATTTGTGGTTCTCCTGCCTCATCGTTTAGAGTACTAGGACTATAGGTGGACAGCACTGTGCCTAGCCCTAACAATTTTCCTCTTTCTTTCTTGCAGGCTTTTAAACTCCATTTATTTGTACAGTCTTGTGAAAATCTGGGTATCGTGCAAAGCAATGGCTTCTCCGCAACACTCCATATACATGCGCCATTATACTCCACTCTTGTTTGCCCCCACTGCCCTCCCCTGTTCTCTTGCCTCACAACTTACATCCCCAACCAAACCTGTCTCAGAGGAAGCAATAGCCTCTTGAAACTGCTTTTGATCTTGTCCCCTTACATTTTATTTTACTTGTCTTTTAATAGCTTAAAAGGTACCATATGTAATAATACAAGAAGTAAATAGTAGTGAAGAAAAAGTACCTTGGTCACTAGAACAGCAATTAAACTAAATTCTACTTATCAACTGCCTACATGCCCGTGCTGCCCAGTGCGTGAACCTTGTAGAAGCTGGTTTCCTTCATGGATTATTTCAAAGAAAAACGCAAACCAGAACTCAGACATGGAACCGGCGTATCTTCTAACTAAAGTTTTGAAACTTTTGAGGCTAAAAATCGAAAGCTGCACAATTCAGTTTCAACGGATCTCCAGTTCATCAGTCAGCTCTGTGGGCTTTTCCCCCAGCATCAACTGCATAAATTAGCATAATGGCCTGCTCTCACCAAGCACAGTTTCATGGTACAACATAGCTCTTCAATGGACAGTGGCATTTTAAAACCACTTCTTAGGTGGAAGAGGAATCTTTGAAGAGATCTTTTTGAGCTCTAACTGCCATGCTGTAACACTGGTCTGTATGCACTGCTCCGTAGCAATGACTGCTAGTCTGGGGCATGCACTCATGCCTGTGTTTCTGCAGGGCCGGAACCCTGCATGTTAACCCTCACATGTTAGGACAGTCAAGTACTGTATTACCAAGGAGCATCCCAGCCCGACTGCTTATCTTTTATGGTCATTTATCTGAGCAGGCCGGTTCTAAGTTCTTGAGACAAGTAACTCTCTTGACACTCCTAAGCTGGACACTCTCCTTAACCTAGCATTCTTTGAAGAGGAAACTAAAGAACAAAGAAGTTGACTAATATGGCCAAAGCCAGAGTTACTGCTGTGACACTGTATCAGAGATGGAATTTCAACTCTGTCTCTGGCCCAGAGCTCCTAAGGCTTTTGGAGTCTCTAGCTTCTCTATGATATAGATGACTGATGACTCCACGGTTTCTCTGATCACGAAACAAACCAGCTCTATGGTTAATGATATGAACTTCCAGCCACAGCTTGGAAGAGAAAGGGACTAAAGGTTGAGCTAATCACCAATGGCCAATGACCAGTGATCAATAATGTTTCTGCAGTGAAGCTTTCATAATCCTGAAATGGACAGGGTCCTTGTGGAGCACCACAGAAGGGTGGCATTCCTGGAGACCACAAAACGCTCTTCTGCCTACCTTCCCCTGGGCATCTCTTCCACACAAGTCCCTGAGCAATGCCTTTCCCTAAGCTCTACAAGCTACTCTTGAAAGGTTTAACAAGCAGGAAGTGGGCTTGAAGCACAGGCCATAACCTGGGGTTTGCACCTAGCATCTGATGTGGGGGTTATGAATGCTACAAGAGCCCATGCTATCTCCAGGTAGATCATGTCAAAACAGTTGGGACATTCAGCTGGTGTCTGCTACAGAACTGTTTGGTGTGTGAGGAAAATCTCCACACTGATATCTGAAGTATTCGTACTGTGTGAGGGGAAAAGTTTAGTTTTACTTTTACAATGGTGGAATGAGAAACTGAACATCAGCAGACTGGCTCCAGGGTCCAAAGTCATGATTACCCTCCTTCACTGCCTGGATAACACAGGACTCGCCATAAACAGAAGAACAAGGCTGTCCTCCCTGAGATCACTGTGCAATGACTTCAAATGTGCCGTGGTACCAATGAGAGCCAGATCAGTCACTACAGAAACCAGCCGCTCAACTATAGCTCAAGACATCTGAATAACGCTTTGTTCTCTTGCCCATGCTCCCGAGGCCTCGGCCCCAGACAACAGAGAAGGATATTGATGGTCTCGTCGAGGTCCTCCAGATCCCACTCTATGCTGCGGAGGTTGTTCCTCAGCTCGTTGGTGGTCCAGTCGATTTCTTCCCTTGTCGCGGCAGAGGGGCCCTGAAGGAGCTCCGTCCATCTCTGAAACAATCCTTGGGCAGTGTTGACTGCTTTCTGTACCTCTCTGCAGTCAAGGTAAAGGAAAAGGAGAGTCACCCACAACTAGTCCACGAAGGAGAGCAGGACTCAGGGCAATGCCACCACACACCATCCTCACAGCGCCCTGACATCACCACCCTCACAACCCTGGCCCACTGGACAAGGCCCAAACAGCCTGGCTGTTGTGTTCCCAGGAGAGGCAGAACAAACTGGCCATTATTTAAGCAACTTTAACATCAAGTTTGTTTGAGGAAGACAGTTGTTTTGTTTTGTTTTTTTTCCTAAACAGACAATACTAAAGAACACAAAGAAGCAATCCTATAAATTAACTAGAGGGTCCTTCACCTTCATGTGGCTTTCCTTTGGTGTGAGAGTCAATTTTTCTTTTTTTGGGGTGGGAGGAGTGGAGGACTATTCTCCCATGGCTCGTGTTTTCAAGATTTAAAGTATTTTGATCTGAGGCATTTTAAACCCAAAACCTCACTGGAATATTTGTAAACATTTCAGCTTTGCTAAGTATCTGCTTCCCTAAATTCAGCAGCACTGTTTAAGAGACTGATATTTTTCCTGTTCAGTGTGGGTCTAGGCCCAGAAACACGACCATGCGGCATGCTTTCACAGAGGATGTGGTTTAAAGATTCTTCGAATGTTCCTCATTGTCACTAGGCTTAAATCCCATTTAACTACTGCACCAAACACTCAGTATGCAGGCTGGAAGAATATGCACATACATGCCAAGGCCAGACAACAACCTGGGGGTTGCTGCTTAGCAGCTGTCTACTTTTGTTTTTTGAGACTGTTTCTCGCATTGGCCTGGTGCTCATTAATGAAGCTGGGCTGGATAGAGAACAAGCCTCAGGCATCTCCCTGTCTCTACCTAACCAATCTAGGATAACAAGCTGAAAAACAAAACAAAACAAAACAAAAACAAAAACAAAAAAGAGTTGCTACCTGAGGTCCTCGTGCTTACACAGCAAGCACTTTACAAAAAAATTAAAAAAAAAAAAAAAAGTCTCCATAGCTCCGTCCAGTATCCTAACGATAGTAACCGCCTACCTGTGGGTTCACGCAATTATGCAGAAGCAGACAATAAAAGGGCAAATTTTATTAGAGGTAAAGTATAACCTAAAAAAAAAAAAAAAAAAAAAAAAAAAAAAGAAAAGAAAAGCCAGGCATGGTGGTCCAGGCCTTTAATCCAGCACTTAGAGGCAGAGGCAGGCAGATCTCTGCGAGTTCTGGGTCAGCCTGGTCTATGTAGTAAGTTCGAGGACAGCCAGTGCTACATAAAGAGACCCTGTCTCAAAGTAAAAAAAAATCAACAAAAAATCAAGAAAGAAAAGTGTATTTGAGGGACAAGATTTTATTTCATTTGTTTGTTTTCTGAGTTTCGGCTGGCCCGCCACGGTGAGTACAGCAAGGCACGGTGGTTTACAGGATCACCGCTACACCATTCACCAGTGCAAACGTCAACGTAGCGAGAGGCACTGTTATGAAAAGAATGAGTAACAGACCCTCCCGCGGCTCATCGCCGGAGCCTCTGTGGTCGCAGACCACACTCTCAGGACTGCGTGATCTCAGGGCAAGAAAGATGGCTCCGTGGTTGAGAGAGCTTGCTGCTCTCCAGAGGACCTGAGTTCGGTTCCTAACACCCACAACAGGCTCCAGGAATCAGTGCTCTTCTGACCTCCTTGAGCACCTGAACATACACAGCAGACACACATACACATGATCAAAATGAGAGAAAGGACAGAAGGGAAAGAGGGAAGAGAGGGACACTGTACAGCCTTCAGGAAACTCTCTGGGGTGATCAAATATGGAGTGGAGTTAAGTCCCCAAGCGTGCCACAACTGAAGCAAGTCCCAAAGAAGCAGGAATCTGAAAAAGCTACAGGGCAATCTCAAAAAAATGCCCAACACTCCCAGACCTGACCAGGGACTAAGTTTAGTCAACACTAAAGACGGTGGTTTTAGAGAGCCCTGAGGTAGTGGCTCACAGTGCTGGGAGACAGAGAGGTAGGTGGATCTCTGAGTTTGAGGCCAGCCTGGTCTAGAGAGCAAGTTTCAGGACAGCCAGAGCTACACACAGAGAAACCCTGTGTGAAAAAAACCAAAACAACAAGAACAACAACAACAAAGTCTTGGTTTTGAATCAGGATTCATTTTTTAGTCTTCATTTTAGAGTATAAACATAAGAAAGGTAAAATGACCATTATTTCACATTTCTAAGGCAGATTCTTTTCTAAGAGACCCAAAAGGGAGGTACCATCAGCAATGGGTCGGCCTTGCAAGAAAAGCCAGAGCTCATAGTGTATCTGGGAACCCCAACCTGACAGTCCTGAAGAGGCTTGCTAGTAAATCAAACAGCAACCTGCTAGTGCCATTTTCCAGGCATGAATAAGTAACAGGGAATAATGTGGCTCACAACCAAGTTCTCTGATGGTTGTGGATTTTTTCAGTTTTGGGGGGTGGTGTGTTTTGTAGTTGTTGTTGTCAAGACAGGGTCTCTCTATGTAGCTCTGGCTATCCTGAAATTCTCTCTGTAGACCAGGCTGGCCTCAAACTCAGAGATTCACCTGCCTCTGCCTCCCAAGTGCTGGGATTAAAGGCGTGTGTCACCATGCCCGGTTGGTGGTGGGTTGTGAGAGTCTCACCATGTGGCCTAGGTCAACCTTAACCGGGTCAACCCTTGTGCCTCAGCTTCCCAAATGCTGAGTTATTGTGGGCACATGCAACTATGCCTTGCAGAGGTCTTTGGGAAACACTAGTAAGAATTTTCCAAAAACTTGAGATTTCCACATAGTCAAGAGCCACAAGCGCCTCTAATAAATGCCCACAACCGAGCAGGACGCCTCTCCACTCAGAGCTGGGCACAGGCACCCAGCACTAAACACTGAGGAGTTCTTAGCATTTCAACTAAGTCAGTTCCTAAAACTCAGCACACAACTCTGCCGCCCATCCACCTGCCATTCGGGATCGAAAGGAGAAGTAAGTGCACTTCTTCCCTTTCTCACTTCCTAGGAAAGGAAAGGGGGGAGGGGTTTCAGTCAAATCAGCTGAGTAGGGGCTGTCCAGGAAACTACCTCCTCTACACAGCCAGCCAGAGACTTTTTCAAGACAGGGTTTCTCTGCATAGCCCTGGATGCCCAGGAACTCACTATGCAGTACAGACTAGACGAAAAGAGACCCACCTGCCTCTGCCTCCCAAGCACTGGGATTAAGGGTGTGGGACCCCACTGTCCAGAGCTTTTTAAAATTTATTTATTTATGCATATGTATATTTTATTTATTTTATGTATATCCCTGTCTTTATGGATACTAGAAGAGGGAATGAGATCACATCACAGATGTTGCGAGCTACTATGTGGCTGCTGGGAATTGAACTCAGGACCTCTCGAAGAGCAGCTGTATTCTTAAGTGTTCTTAACCAGTAACCATCTCTCCAACACAAGCACTTTCTTGAATTAGCAACTGTGTCCAAAATCCTCCTTTACTTGACACTCTAGCTTAGCTATTTCTAGATTTTTCCCCTAACTATGCAATGGGAATTATAGAGTGTATACAAGAGCACGATACACTTTAACTTCTTGGCAACAGTTGGCTCATCAACAGCTTTGGAAGCATGTCTGGCATTTCAGTTAAAGCTCAGCAGCTATCTTCCTGAGAACTGTGGCTCAACCCCTCCAACAGAGAAGCCTCCATCAAGCACTGATGAAGTGACTCCCTCTATGCGGGTCAGGCAAGCTTTCTACTCACATGCTTCCAAAAGTCAGGCTTGGGCACCATGTCACAGGCAACAAGGCACTGTGTTAGTAAGCCTGAAAACACAAATTCCACCCCCTTGCTGTCTGACAGCCTGCCAAGTGTACCAAACTGGACAAGTTCTTCTAAGGAACAATCAACCCACAACATGACTACAGGACCACTTGTAACGCAGCACTTCCTTCCTGGTGAATGAATGAATGTACCTTTGCGAAAACAAAAACAAACCAAACAAAAACTGGGAAAAGCCAACCAAACCTTCCGAATAGGAATCTTTTACCCTTTTTAAACAAAAGCTGATAGCAACAGGACTAACCTTTTGAAGCTAACTCAACACTGACCCATTGCTATTGATTGTACAGCCTCCTCCATACAACATTCCAATCTGTCACAGCATCGTAAAAGGATCACCATCCCAAACAACTAGCTTGCCAATACAAAGAATATTGCCAAGTGTCACCTCCTCCAAAAAAGATCACAAAGTTTTCTTTTCTTTTCTTTTTTCTGTTTTTTTGTTTTTTGGTTTTTTTTTTTTTTTTGGTTTTTCGAGACAGGGTTTCTCTATGTAGCCTTGGCTGTTCCTGGACTCATTTTGTAGACCAGGGTAGCCTGGAACTCACAGAGATCCGCCTGCCTCTGCCTCCCCGAGTGCTGGAATTACAGACGTGTATGCTTGGCTTGCAAAATTTTCTTACTTAATATTTAAGTTTGCCAAGTACAGGCTGGATGTGGTGGTTCACACCTTTAATCCCAGCACTTAGAGGGCAGAGGCAGGCAGATCTGAGTTTGAGGCCAACTTCGTCTAACAAGAGCCTGTCTCAAAAAAAAAAAAAAAAAAAAAAAAGAAAAGGAAACAAGGAGTATCTCGGCTAACAGCAACTGTCACACTTTGGATGTGGTCTGAGTGTGTCCCTAAGGGCTCATGCATGTTGGTGGCTTGGCCCTCAGTATGGCAGTGTGGAGGTGTTAAAAGCTTTAATAGGAAGGTCCTAGCAGATGATTTAGGTCTCTAGAGACACGGCACTAAGACAGTTCTTATGGGCCTCCAGGTAATTCCTAAAAAAAAAAAAAAAAAAAAAGATACAAAAGACAGTTTGCCCCTTCCTCCTTGATTTCTGTATCTGCTCCTCTCATAAATGACTACATCGTGGTGTGAGACAGCCCAGGGCCTCTCTCTACAGGACCTACTCTCAGACTCCCCATGAGCTGAGTAGCTATCTTCCCTTCATGAGTATCCAGCATTGGTAACTGCATTAGAACAACAGAG